TGCTGAGATGCAGAATCTATGAGAAAGTTGCATCTTTGGCCATCCAGCTTTCCTGTCACGTAAACACTATGTGTGCTTGCCATTTTACACTTAGCTGTTGGGACTTTCAGAATGGGGTTGGTGGGCGTCCCTCAACACCAACCACTATTGATTTCCCGAAGCTGACATATTGGTAGTATTCTTCTTAGATTGTCCTTGTTCTCCACAGTTACAACAACCTTTCTTGGTATTAGCTTTTTCTGCCGTGGCATCTTCCCTGTGTTGAAGTTGCCGGCATTGAGCTCTCTTGTGCCCAGGTTTGTTTCAGTGCCAGCAAAGTCCCTCAAACTTCTCTGAAAGCTGCCCTTTCCTTGCCTTGAGTCCTGATCACTGTACCAACTTTAGTATCTCTGTGCTGGACTTAACGTAGGATTCAAATTCAAGAGCTCTGGCCATTGCATCTTGCATAGTTGAGGGGTGTGCTTGCTTCACTTGTATCTTCAGTTGTGGACTGTCCAAGGCGTCTACAAACTGATTCATCAGCAACAGCTTGATGACATCGGGTGGTGCAGTTGGGTAGGCCTTGTGTGCCACACTTTCCAAATCCTCTCCCCTTTAGCACGGACTCTGGTCCTAAACCTAGCTCTGTAGACTTCGGACCGATTTCGAGTTCCATAGCTGAGTTCTAGAGCAGCTACCAGTGCTCTATAGTTGTGCCTGTCGTCTGCTGACAACTGTCCAAATTATTTCCAGTGGTTATCCCTTCAAACTCGTTGCCAGGTACACTGCCTTCTGCTCCTCTGTCCATCCATTCATTTCTGCCAGGAGCTCAAATTGTGCTCCACACGCTTCCCAGGATACCTTTCCATCGAATTCCTGAGGCTTCCTTCGTACTAGATCACCCCTATTGCTGACACTCATGTCTAGAATGTGACTTCTGACAGGACTGAAGATGTCTGCATTAGGCTTTAGCTGCGGGGTCTGGAAGGGGCTTCCCGTTGTCTGAGGCTGATTAGGTCCATGGTTAGTATATCCTCCCTGTGTAAAAGACAGTAAATCGTCCTTTAATGTATTTGATTCACTTTGAAATTTACTAATCTTTTCCATTTGTTTATGCTGGCTTTCTCTCAACTGTTGGAAACTTTCTTCGTGTTCATTTTCTTTCTCCTCCAACCACTGCTGTTGTCTTTCTTCGTGTTCATTTTCTTTCTCCTCCAACCACTGCTGTTGTCTCTCTTCTTGTTTATTTTCTTTCTCCTCCAACCACTGCTGTAACCTTTTTTCTTGTTACTTTTCTTTCTCCTCCAACCACTGCTGTAGTCTATTTATTGTTTATTTTCTCGTTCCTCTTGTTTCATTTCTTTTTCCTACAACAACTGCTGTAATCTCTCTTCATGTTTATTTTGCTGTTCCAGCTGCCACTGTTGTAGGTTTTCTTGCCACTGCTGTAGTCTCTTTTCTTGATTATCTTATCGTTCTTCGTTTTTCTTTTGCTATTTTGCTTGTATCCCTGAAGTTTCTCGGAAAGAATTTTTACCGGAAATTATCAAACAAGCAGAAATGTAACAATATGTATAAAAATACCAAATTAAACTTTCTAATTTTTAAAAAAGAAATAGTTATTTTCACTATACGAACTAGAATTATAAAAAATAATTTCAGCTTATCTATGTAATACATTGTTTTTCTGTGACCATTTAATAATTTATTTCATGGGACACAAAAGGGTTTCGATTTTTAAGCAAAATTTTTTAGAGAATACAGAAGTCAGGAAAATATATACGATTCCGATTCCGACGAATCCCTGAAGGTTAGTAAGTCTAGTGTTGTATATGAATTATTGAAATGTAAAAATATGTTGTGAATTATTTAAACGGTGAAAATGCAAAATTCTATTCTTTCAAAGATATTTAATTTCTAAGTTGCCCAAAGGATGCTCTTAAATGTAGTATAAGGAATGGAAAATAATCAGTACTATGATATTTCAGTACAAGATGTTTCAATGAATGACAAGACATTTATCAGAAGTGAAAGGATTAAGGTATAGCGATATGAACTGTATTTAGACTAAATTTAAGTCACATACTTTGCTGTGGACCTATGAAACATGTATATAAATATTTTTAACTTAGAGTTTGCCTCCTCCTGAATCGGGGTTCCTTGGCGCGTCTTTTGCGACTAGTGATCACTCCGCCCGTGGTTTTTTTTTTTCTTTTTTTTCATAAAC